CTGTAGCATAAAAAGCCCTTCCATTTGCTAGTCTGTGACCTGTTTCAACTCTGTTTGAGGAAGGTCAATCTAAGGACCCAGTGGGCCAGTGATTTCTGTAGAGCAAGGTGTTATTTCACTGACAAGCTGGTCTGACCATCGCTGTACAGAGAACTACAACCCACAGCTGGCTGTCGGGCTACCCCTCTGAATTGGAGTCTAAAAGGTCACCTTGTTTCAAATTAGGAGTTTTCATTAAGATAGACCTCTTTAGGCTCGATGCTTGTGGCCCAAGTGGCTAAGGCGCCAGCCACGTACACCCAAGGTGGCAGGTTCAAATCCAGTCTGAGCCTGCCAAACGACGACGGCTGCTGCAACCAAAAAATAGCCGGGCGTTGGGAGGCGGAGGCAGGAGACTCGCTTGAGCCCAGGAGTTGGAGGTTGCTGTGAGCTGAAATGCCATGGCACTCTGCCCAGGGGGACAGCTTGAGGCTCCTGTCTCAAAAAAAAAAAAGGATCGACCTCTTTTACTCCAGTGTTCCTCCTATAGTAAAATAACTAGAATGCTGACCCAGGAGGTGTGCCGCAGGCTGTCCAGAAAATATCCAGCCATTGTTAATACTGGTTTTCATATGACATGGACAGCCTTTGTATATATACAGTAGAGCCTCCATAGTTGATCACCTCCCTGCATTGATAACCTCCTTAAGTAATTTGCATGGACCAGACATGCACCACATGTACTTACCAGTACAGTAGGCCTGTTCCTTATGTTGACCATCTCCATATGTTGACTAATTTGTTCAGTGCCTTGGATGGTCAACCTAACAGGTTCTACTCTGGGCTTTTATTGGAGGTTTTTTTTTGTTTGCCATTTCTCTTTGCTGAGGATTTCCTTTTTACAGTGAAATTCGCCACTGACTTTAACTCAAAAGTTGCAAACTGGTGGCTCACAGATGTTTCCTTTATCACAATGTTAAAAAAAAAAAAAAACTTTAAAACTGTGAGGGCTTTGTACATTAAAAAAGATGTTCTGACAAAATTAGCTCATGGTAAGAATCAGCTGGCACTCAGATTGGAAAATGTGCCCATCAGGTCACCATAAGGCCTAGGTCAGTTCCCATATGTCAGTTTTTCTTTACAGTCAGGGAATCTGTCTCTAGACCTGCTGCCTAGTTTAAAGTGGCAATCCAATGATGGGCAAGGAGGGCGTGTGCCTACCTGACTTAGGTAATACACTGGCCACTCCTGACCTTTGGGCTCACAACACTATTTGAACCCATTTTATCTCTTGCACTCTGTTCTTTACATTTCTTCCATAATCCCTAATTGTTCTGAAGGGACTAAAGTTATATCATTGGCTATTTTTGAGGTGACCCATATGGTGTGGCCACTGTGATCATTTTCCAGTGGGAAATCAGTCCATGTCTTGGCATCAGAGGAGGGTCAGTCAGGACCCTTTAATACTATGGACCTTGCCCAGCCTGTCTGTCAAGACCTTGCCTCACCCAGACATGCAATTCCTGCATCCTTCAAAACAGATTGCAATTTTCCACTCTGAAGTAGTGATAGAACCACTACAGAAGTATGTTTCCCTCCTGTCTCCACTGATGCCTAAAAACCACTGTCCTAGAGATAGGAAAGTAAAACTTACTGGACCTCTGAGAGGCTACACACTTTTCTAATCTGTTGCCCTGATACTCTGGCACCCTCAGAGCCAGGTTCAATGTGAATGTGGCTTTGCGTACAAGCTTACAGAACGTTGGTATCAGGGCAGACACTTGAAAGAAGGAAGAGCAGCCTGCCCAGCTCTGCCTCACACTGAGACCCCAGGAAGCTGTGTCTTGCTAGGCCCCAGAGCCCCCTTCCTTCTTCAGGAAGAACAGAGGGGCCTCCTCTGCCACTTTGGAAAGAGCAGAGTTCCAGGGCAGATATCCCATATGTGCGGCTTCTTGGACCCATCTCTGACTTGTGGCCAGTGTGTTGTCAACCCAGAAGCCCTTGTATCCTGGAAGGGAAAATGCTGGCTCACCTTTGGCGGAGAAAAAGAGACCAACAAGACAGGTTCTGAGTGAATCAATGTCATGTTCACATGGAAGACAACAGACAATATCAACATACTCTAAAACCACACTTTTAGGGAAAGGACAGGTGTAGCTCCCTCACGAGCCTATTCTAAACCAGTCTCTAAAAGAGTTGACCCAAACGATTACATAAACCCCCAAACAAAACATGTCACAACCACGTAGCATCTGAAAATCAAAGCAAGACACTGGAGGTTGACTTTAACATATAAAAATACTATAACAAAATGAAATACAAATATATATTAGAATCTGTAAGTATTCTGTATAAAGAGATACTTTCGCGGTTAGGCTAACAGCAGGCAAAGAGGAGACAAAGTCCAGCCTTTTCCACTTCCTGATACCTTCACGGGGAGCCACAGCTTCTGTCACCAGTGGTGCTACCAAAGCAGCATCTCCCTCAGGACTTGCCCTGTTGTGTCCCTTCATTACATGTCACATGCAGAGCAAACTGAGGGTCTTTACCAAAGCAGAGCAGGATATGAAGAGGACTTCTCAGAGGGATGGCTTCGCAGTAGCCTTCTTCCAGGATTTAGTGAGCCCTAGTGTGAGCAGGCCACATGACACATGGCTCATGTCCTTAGTGACTTGCCGGCTGGTGGCCATGTTGGAGGAGAAGTTGGTCCTGGGGCCACGGTTCTCATCTCACCTTCACAGTGGGTCCCACCACCAGCCTCCACCAAGGGGCTGCACGGCTATGCTGAAGGCTGGGTGTGGAGCGGTGGCCCTAAGCTCCCAGGTGCTCCCTGGGAACACACTCCAGCCGCTCACCCCCATCACATAGTGAGGGGTGAGGGGTGAGAGGTGAGGGCATCACCCATCTCAGTGTCTTCTCACCATCCACAGTGGGAAGAAGCCTCTTGCCAGTCAGTGCTCTTCAAGCCCAGGGCAGTTGGAAGCAGTGGTGGCCCAGGAAGCTACCTGTCTCAGGGTTGGTAATTCCCAGAGCATGTGTCCTCAGGGAGGGGACAGGCTAGCTGCCTTGGAGCCTTTCTGCCCTATTTGGCTGATGCAGCCTCTCTCCAGGATCCCACAGTGGTGACTCAGAAGTAAGAGGGATGCTATGCAGCCCTGGGAAAAGCCAGGACTGAGCTCCTCCTGCTCAGTCCACTTGTGGTGGGGGCAGGCTTTGTGGCCTTGCTCAGAGGTACTAGAAAACACAGCCCAGTTCCTGGTGAGGGGCAGATCCCACCATGAGGACCCTCCCCCAACCAGGGCCCTTTCTGAATCACAGGGGTCCTGAGAGTTATTGGCTTGAATCCCAGTGTAATGGAATGTTCCAAGCTCCCACAGCACAGGAAAGCAAGCCCTCCACTAATCACCCCTAAAGGCTCCCCTTGTTGCCCACATGGACTAGGGCACAGACACAAGGTCCCTCCAACCCCACGTGATAACACCCTCAACCTTGCTTTCTGGTTGAAGGTGGAGGGAGCCAGGAAATGGACATGCTCACCTCCTTTGCCTACCAGGACTCCCCCAGGGACACACCCTGATGGGGAGACATCTGGGGAAAAGGACTGTGATTCCTTTCAACCAGCTTTCTATTTGGAATCAAAAGTCATCTCTCCCCATTTCACTCTCCATGGAAGAGAAGCCTTGGTGTTCAGTCAGTCATGTACTCAGTGACTTCAAACACTGCATCCTTCATTGCTAGCAGGTGGGCAGCCATAGACCCTACTCCGCTCAGCTTTCTCCCAGGGATCCTGGCTGCTCCTGCGATGCTCTGGGGTTAGTTCCCAGCTGTCCATCAGGGAAGAACACCTATAGGGCCCAGCCCCGAGTTAGGCACATAAATACTTATCGATGTGATTAATGAAAATGGGTCTTCTAATCCCCCCTCCTGAGAGCACCGTGGGAGCATCTGCGCTGCTCCTTTGGTCATCCCACCTTCCCATGTGACAGCCGAGGAGCCCGAGGCCCAGGAGAAGAAATTTTCCCAGAGTGATAAAGCCAGTGGCAATTTCCTTACACCTGGCCCACTATCCCTTCTGCTGTTCCTTACAGGCCTAAAAAGGGCTCTGGACTCATCAAGCAGCCTGGGCCTCCACACCCTATCCCTCTGCTGATGACTCACTGACAGTTTCTGGCTTGCTGGTGGCTGGGAAGCCCAGAACCAGTGCCCCTTCTATGGCTAGTATCTAGAGGCTGGTGATGGTTAGTCAGCTGGAGCCAAGAATCCCCTGCCACCCCAAGCAGCCCCAGTGGCTGTTTCCTCCATGTAAGTCCCTCCTTACACTACACTGGTCATCCTATAACATTAGGACCCAGAGGCCTAGTTCTAAGAGCCACCTCCACCCTTTGCCTTGTTTCCAAGCAGTTGCTTCAATGCCATCAGTCAGCCCAGGGGACAAGGGTCAGTGCCTTCCTGGCCAGCAGGAGGAGGCCCTTCCCCTGCACAGTCTGGCCTATTGTCAGCAGATGCCATAGCAGTGGAATGAACCAGTCTGGCTTCCCCAGGAGAGGCTGAGAGAACTTCAAGGTTATCTGCAGATAGGCAGGGGGCTTCTGGGTCTGAGGACCCAACTTCAGTCCAGCTTGAGCCACAGGCCTGAGGGAAGGGTTGGCTTGGGAAGGAGTCAGTCCCCTTCTTCAGACCCAGATAGCTAGCAAAGAGGGATGTCACCTTTCTGAACTTCTTGGCCTGACCTCACACACACATTCATTCAACAAATATTTATTAAGTGCCTATTTGTGAAAGGCACTTCCAGAGAGGGAAGTCCGCAGCTCAGGCCTTGACCACCCTTCTGTCCCCAGCTGTGGCACAATTTGTTTTCAAAAGGCTGCTCTGGCATCACCTATCCAAGAGAGCCTAGCTGCCCAGGAGCCGCCCTGGTGATGGCCTGCACCCCCCAGCCCAGCTGCTGGCATTGTCTCCACTGTTGCTGCCAGCTGAGCCTCCCTCACCCACCCTCACCCCCACCCAGTCCACATCCAGCACTACACGCAGAGGGCACAACCACACTTGGTGGGCTTCTCCACCTCTTCAGCAAAAGAGGTCCCATCGCTGCATTCAAAGGTGAACTTCCTCCGCTTCAGCCGAAGGCCCTGGCAGCAGCCCTGCCCCGGACACGAGCCCCGGCACTCCACCCACGACAGCGGGCGTGTGGTCTGGCAGATGGCATAGCCCCTCTGGACCTGGTGAAAGTCCCGGACAGGGTCCCCCCGGCACTCGGACTCTGGATGGGACAGACACCAAGAGAAAACCTCAGGGCACAGCCACCAACCAGCTGCTGCCCCTGGGGAGGCAGGAGGAGGAGGGTAGCATCCTCAGGGCAGGTCCTCTGGCTCCCAGCAGCCTGGCCCCAGGTAGCAGCCTCCCACCTCCCGCCATCATGCACATGCACACCACATCCTCTGGGGCCTACAGTCCTGTCAGAGGGAAGGAAGACCTTCCTCACAGCCAGGGCCCTCCAGGACATACTGGGCTGCCAGGGGAGGTGGCTGTCATTGCTAGAGTATGAAAGAAGAGGCTGGAGACCCTGGAGGCAGTAACATCACAGAAGGAATTAATGCTGGGGAGGTATGGCCTAGGAGACCGTTAAGGTGCCTGAGTTCTGCTTTCTCCAGCTTCTGCCTGCTCAGCCTTAGCAGTCTGGATTCCAGCAGAAGCATCTTGGTCAAGCAGACTAGGGAGGGTCTGGGAGGGGTCCCCGGGAGGGGTCCCCACCCCTTGGACATCTTGCTGCACCCAGGTCCTGAGGTGTAGGTTCAGCCAGGAACTGTTATCCTGGGTGGTCTCTTCTGTAAGGAGAGAACCCAGCCAGAAGAGGGAAACTCCTGGATAAGGGAGCTGCAGGGCAGGCTAGGTCAGGGGAGATGGAGAGGGCAGGGCTCAGTGCTGGGGGGCAGGGGTGTCACCAAAAGCCCAACAGTGGCTCAGGGGGTGTACGTGAGGACTCAGAGGGGCTGCTGAGGTTGGGAAGAAGAGTCAAGTTGCTAAAGTAGGTTGTGTGGGGGTCCCGGGGAGGGCACATCAGGAGAAGGGCCCTGACCTTGCTCACACAGCTCGCCCGAAAAGCCAGGGTCACACACACAGTGAGCCCCCTTGGTGGCCGAGGCCTGGCAGTGGCCGTGTAGGCACTGCAGGCCCCCACAGGGCTCTGCTGGTACCCCAGCCTGGTTGCACAGGGCCCCTGAGTACCCATCCTGGCACTGGCAGCTGTAGGAGAGCGCATCAAGAGGCACACATTTCCCATGGACACACCTGGAGAGGACAGAGAACAGGCACTGTGAGGACAGGCAGAGCCAAGGTCTACCCAAGGGGAGCCCACACCTCCCAGCCTTGACTTCATGAGCATTGCTCTGTTCCCAAGAGTTAAACAAAAGGAGTACAATGTGATTCTGCTTGTCCTTATGGACCTTTTCATAAACAATAAAACCCTCTGTTGGGCCATATGACCAATATGTTTTTTTAGTTTTTTTGAAACGGTCTCCCTCGTCACCCTGGGTAAAGTGCTGTGGCATCATAGTTCACAGCAACCTCAAACTTCTGGACTCAAGGGATCCTCTTGAGCTGGAACTACAGGTGCCCACAACAACGCACAGGTAGTTTTTCTGTTTTTAGTAGAGACTGAGTCTCGCCCTTGCTCAGGCTGGTCTCAAACTCCTGGGCTCAAGCAGTCCACCTGCCTTGGCCTCCCAGAATGCTGGGATTATAGACATGAGCCATCGTGTCTGGCCCAATTTGGGGGTTTAAAGTTAGTTTGTGAGGCAGTCTTGCCATGTATGAAAGGAGACCTAGGGGATGCCAGGGCTTCCCTCAGTCATCCCAGGCTCACTTGTGGCCGTGGCAGGGCCCGTCGACTGGCTGGTCACAGTGCAGGCCCCCCCAGCCGGCCTCACAGTGGCATCTGGGCCCTGGGGTGGCATTGGGCTGGCAGATGCCATGCAGGCAATAGAGCTTGCGGCAAGGCTCACAGCCAGGCACCACTCCTGGCTTCATCTGTGTCTTGGTGAAGTCCTGCAGCTCATTGTTGATGTACAGATTTCGGATGCAGCCATGGAAGCTGGTGCCATTGAGGATCTGCCATAGGCGGAAGGCCGCTGAGTTCACGTCCACGGGCATCCCTGGGATGAGAGTGGGAGCAGAGCTGGAATAAGTCAGGCTTGAGCCATGCCTGGCACCCACCTTGGAGGTCTGCATGGCAGCTCCACAGTGTCCCCCACGTCTGTCCGTCTCTGCAACCCTAAGCCAAGGTCCTCCCATGCAACCTTAGAAGGACCAGACTGCTTTTCCAGAAGAAATGGAAAAGCTGCTTCCCTTGTGATCAGAGCTGGGTGTCAGGCCTGGCAGTGGCCAACCAAAGGGTAGGGATCTGGGTGCCTGATCCTGAAGTCTGGCTGCCCTTACCTAGGGCTTTCTCTCTCCCTGTGGGACACCAGCCTTGACCTCTCAGAGACCCCAAACATAGCAAATGACCAAGGCCTAGAACTCATGCATACAGCACTGTCACTGCTTTTGTGCTCTACTAGTAGGTGGCAGAGCTGAGATTGGAACTCCAGAGCCCTAAGTCTCAGCAAACCACCCAAAGTGCTAGGATTACAGGTCTGAGCCACAGCACTGGCTGACCCCAAGCAATTGAGAAGCTCCCTCTGGCCCAAAGCCAAGAGGAAAGATATCTATGGTGGGGAAGAGAGCTGGGAAAGTTCCAGGCCCTCCTCTAGGTCAGGCCTTGGACATGACCCAATCTCATTCCTTCTTGGTTAGTCTGGGCCAGGCAGAGAGCAGCCTGGGCTCCAATTGGAGAGGATAACCTGTCATCAGCTGGGCAGTCACTAGGACCCCATTTTCCACCCCCTTGGCATTTCCACACAGTTCAGTCCCTGGCACTAGCTCTCCTGGCCAGCTTTAGGCCAGACAGCAAACGAGGTCACCATGGCCTCATGGAGAGGCCTGAGAAGGGATAGCTGCAGCCTCCACCCAGAGCAGGTCCTCACCTCCCACGTAGAGGGGGGCCTCACTGTTGAGTGTATAGTGTTTGCCAAAGTTGTCCATGGTCATGGGACTGCCACCATCAATGGAGAGATTCACCATCTGGTCAAAGGCAACCAGCTCAACAGTGTGAAACTGGCCATCATTTATCGTCTCAGCACTGGAAGAAGATGAGATCCCCCCCTCAGGGAATGGGCTTTAGTTTGGGCTATCCCTGCTTGGGCCCTTCCCCAGCCAAGACCAAATCTCTAAGGAAGGGGCCCATGGGGACCAGTGACTTGTAGCTTGATCCCTCCCCTGCTCCCTTTCTTAGACTCTCTGCGGAAGGCGGAGAAGTTTGGGGTGGAGGGTCTCCAACTCACCAGTCTGGCACTTCCCCATTTAAGAAGCCCTCATGAAGAAGAGGGATAGGAAGGAGACTGCAGAGGGCCTCCAAGCCAGGCTAGGGCTAAGCCAGACAGTTCACATGCCCCTATCTCACGGGCAGTGCCAGTTCCCTATGGTCCCCATCACCACCTGCCTGGGGACCCCCCCCAGGCACCCTCTAGCCTTGAGAGCAGTGAGGTAGTGTAAGGAGGTCCCACCTGTAGATGGCAGAGCTGGGATAGCTTCCTGGGTCATAGCTGACCCGCACGTGGCCCTGGTACAGCTCAACTGCAATGTGGTCATTGTCCCCATTGTACAGCAGGATCCCGTTGTCTTCTGCCGTGGAGACCTGATGGGTGGTGGCACTTTCTCTCCCACCCATCCCATGCAGCAGCAGCACAGGTGGGCAGGTGGTAGGGCAGGTAGGAAACCCAAGTTTGGAAGAGAGCTGCTGTATGAACTGTGCTCCCACCTGACCACACTGGGGCCATCCCTCCAGGGGCACTGACTGAGGCTGCAGACCCTGGACTGAATGCTGGCCAGGGCCAGGCAGGAGAGGGTAAGAGACCAGCAGAAGCCAGGAGGAGCAGGGAAGAGGCCTCGGGGCAATCTCCCAGGAGAGGGAAATTAGATGGGGGCTGCTCTCTCCTAGGTGTGGGCAGCCTGCTCTGCAGGCCTCAAGAAGCTGGATGTTCAGGTAAGAACTGCAAAAAGGACACATTCAGGAAGGCTCTCTGACAGCAGAGCCACCCAAACCTGGAGAGAGCCACTTGGGAAGTAGTGTCTGTCACTTGGAACTGTGTAAGCAAAGCTGGGATTTTTGCCTTGGGAGAAGATCCCTCTAAAATGCTATAGGAGCCATGGCATTTTTTCTTGCCTTGTCCCTGTCCTTCCCTTTCTTCTGCCCTGTTCAGTACAGATGGGCACATGACCCAGTCTGACCAATCATACCAACCCATCTCTGCGGGCTCAGTGGTTGGTTCATTGGTGGGCATGTGACTATAGCCACGCCAATTAGAGATCTTTCCCAAGATAATCTCATCAGAGCTGGTAAGGAGCAGCACTTTTAAATTGCTAGTGATGGCCCTGTGGGAGATCAGGAAAAACAAGGATGTGCCAGAAGCAATGGCTGCTTAGCATTTGGGAGAGTTTGATTCTCCAAGCAGTCAGGCTGGTGGCTGTCTTGCTGTGGAGAGTGTAGTGGGTAGGATGCTGGAGAGTGACGGGGAGAGGGTAGAATGGCACATGTGAGAGGTTGAGGGGTTCTGAGGAAAAAGGAGGAGAGGACAAAAGAGAGGGGACAAGAAAGATGTGGCATCTGTGATAGGGAATGGAACTTGGGGCAACAGAAGATGACTAAAGAAGGGTTTGAAACTTTCTATCATGTGCTGTGTGATAAAATCCAATTTCCTCTCCCGCCCCCAAAATATCTACCAAAATATCTATATATTTCATCAGTGCTATTGAAGTGGGACTTGCTTTGTTTCCCCCTCAAGTTGATGATGCTCTGAGATGGAGCTGAAGACATGAAAAGAGTAATTTAAAAGACCCCGGTGACATGTGGTTAAAGATACCCTGGTCATGCTCTAGCCGTAGAGAGAAAGCCTGTCTGTAGTGCTGGAGGCAGAGGCCGAGGAGCAGTTGAGACAAGAGATGGCGGGAGAGGGTGGTGGCAAGTTTGGTTTTCTGAATCCAGTTACACATGAGACCACTTCCAACCCGCCCTGGCTTTTTGACTCATTCTTCCTTCCACGGGTGCTTAAACTAGCTCCAGCTGAGATCCTGATACACACAGCTAAGAGTTTTGACTGATTCAGGGCCCTCCCAGCTCCCCTGGGCACCCTGTGGGATGCATTAGATAGTCCAGCCTGAGACCAGAGCCCCTGCTCCCTGACTCCCCTCTGTGACTAGGTCCCCTGGGCACGCACCTGCAGTGTGATGTTGGCCCGTGGCCAGTTCTGCAGGTCGGTGAACTGCAGGTAAGTGTCCCGATCCACGAAGTTGACACTGAGCAACTTCTCACACTCGGGGCCACCAAAGCCTGGGAGGCACTGGCACACGGGCCTGCTGCCCTGGTCCACACAGATGGCCCCATTCTGGCACTCAGTCCCCTCACAGGGGCTCCTGGGGGCAGGCGGGTGGGGAGGGATCTCACAGAGCTGTCCACTGAGAGGAAAGGACACAGGTTGGAGAAGTCAGAGCCAAAGGAAGAAGGGGGCAGAGCATCTTCCTCTTCCACAGGCCAGGAGGGAAATTCACTAAACTTGAGAAAATGGATCCTTAAAGTGACAGAAGATGCTCCGGATGAACACTTTTTTTGAGAATCCTGAGAACCAGAAGGACAGTGGAGATAAAAGTGTGGTCCTTCAACCAGCAGCATCAACATTATCTGGGCACTCACCAGAAATTGAAAACCTACCAAATCTGTTTTTTTTAATAAGATCTCAGATGAATCATGTGTACGTTAAAGTCTGAGAAGCACTTACTGCTCATGCCAATAACTGCAAGGCAGATGTTACCACACCCATTTTGCAAAAAAGAGAACTCAAACTTAAGACACAAGCAGAAAAAGAGGGAAGACTCGAATTACTAGAATCAGAATAAAAAGAAAGAACATAAACAGCAACCTTACAGAAATAAAAAAAAAAATTATAAGGAAATACCATGAACAACGATATGCCAACAAATTAGACAACATAGCTGAATGAAAAAATTCCTAGAAAAACACAACTACCAAAACTGACTCAAGAAAAAATAGAAAATCTGAATAAACCCATAACAAGTAAAGAATTAGTGATCAGAAAATTTTTAAAAAACCATCAGGCCCAGATGGTTTCACTAGTGAGTTTTATCAACATTTAAAGAAGAACTAATGCCAATTCTTCACAAACTCTTACAAAAAAAATTTGTTAAGGAGGAAATGTTTCCTAGCTTATTCTATGAGACTGGCATTACCCTGACACCAAAAGCAAGACATCACAACAAAAGAAAACTATAGGCCACTATTTCTTATGAATATAGGCACCCAAATCCTCAACAAAATACAAGCAAATCAAATCCAGTATAAAAAGGATTATATCCCAGGACCAAGTGAAATTTACACCAGGAATGCAAAGTTGATTTAACATCTGAGTATCAATTAATGGAATACATCGTACCAGTAGAGGATGGTATGGTCATGAGGACTTACATCTATGTTTTGTTTAAAAAACAAAAAATTACGTGATCATCTCAACAGATGCAGAAAAAGCACTGGAAAAACTTCAACATCCCTTCATGATAAAATACTCCACAAAATAGGAACAAAAATGAACTTTATCAACTTGATAAAGAAAACCTACAAAAACCACACAACGCAACTAACATTACACTTCACGTTGAGAGAATGAATTACTTTCCCCCTAAGACTGGGAACAAATGAAGGATATTTTGTCTTTACTGAAAATAAAAAAAAAAATAGCCAGGCACTGTGGCAGGTGCCTATAGTCCCAGCTATTTGGAGGCTGAGGCAGGAGGATCACCTGAACCCAGGATTTTGAGGTTGCTGGCACTCTAGCTTGGGCAAAAGAGGAGAGGAGAGGAGAGGAGTAAAGAAAAGAAAGAAAATGGGAAAGAAAGGAAGGGAGAGGGAAGGATGGAGGGAAAGAAAAAGAAAGGAAAGAGAAGAAAGGAAGGAAAGAAGGGAAGAGAAATAAAATACATGTAAACTGGAAAATATGTAAAACTATCTCTATTTGCAGATGTCATGAGCTTGTATAAGAAAATCCTACAGAATCCACTAAAATGTGGTTAGAACTAATGAAAGAATTTTTCAAGTTTCAGAATACAATATTGATGTACAAATATCAAACAAAAAGTGATGTTAAGGAAACATTCCTTTTACAATAGGATCAAACAGAATAAAATACTTAGGAATACATTTTTAGAAGTGGTGCAAAATTTATACTTTGAACACTACAAAACATTGTGGAAAGAAATTAAGGAAGATCTAAATAAATTGCAAGGCATTTTTGTGTTCATGGATTGGGAGGCTTAATGTTGTTAAAATGGCAACACTCCTTACATTGATCCACAAATTCAATCTATCTCTATCAAAATCCCAGCTGACTTCTTTGCAGAAATTAACTGGCTGATTCTAAAATTCATATGGAAATTCAAGGAACTCAGAATAGCCAAAAACAATCTTAAAAAACAAACAACAAACTGGGAGGACTTACACGTCCAAATTTCAAAACATATTACAAAAAACTACAATAATCAAGACAGTGTGGTACTGACAAGAAGGTAGCCATATGGATCAAGAGACTAGAAATTATAGTCCTGAAATACCCTGACGTTTATGGCTAATTGATTTTTGACAAGGATTCCAAGACAATTCAATGGGAAAAAGAATAGCCTTTTCAACAAATAGTGCTGGGACAACTGGATATGCAAAAGAATGAAGCTGTATCCCTTCCTAACACCATGTATAAAAATTAACTCAAAATGGATCAATGATCTAAATATAAGAGCTAAAACTATAAAACTCTTCAAAGACAACATAGATGTAAATCCTGATGACCTTGAATTAGGAAATAGTTTGTTAGATATGACACCAAAAACATAAGCAAAAGAAGAAAAAAATAGATTAACTAGACCAGTAAAACTTTTGTGCATCAAAGGACATTATCAAGAAAAGAACCATAAGAATAGTAGAAAACATTTGCAAATCCTATGTCTGATAACGTACTTATCAAAAGTATAGAAAGAGCTCTTACAATTCAATAATTAAAAAGCCTCAATTTTAAAATGGGCAAAGAACTTGAAGATACATCTCTCCAAAGAAGATCTAAAAATGGCCAGTAAGCAGATCAAAGATGCTCATCATTACCTATTAAGAAAATGAAATCAGAACCACAATAGGATGCTAATTCATAGGCACTAGGATGATTAGAAGTAACAAGTGTTACTAAGAGTGTGGAGCATTCGGAATTCTCATACACTGCTGGTGGAAATGTACAATGATGTGACCACTGGAAAACATTTTGATACTTCCTCAAACAGTTAAACATATGGTCCAGAAAATCCACCCCTAGTTGTGTACACAAGAGAACTGAAAATGGATATCTACACAAAAAACCTGTACACAAAGGCTCAGAGCATCAGTATTCATGACAGCCAAAAAATGGAAACAGGCCAGGCATGGTGGCTCACGCCTATAATCCTAGCACTCTGGGAGGCCAAGGCGGGTGAACTGCCTGCGCTCACGACTTTGAGACCAGTCAGAGCAAAAGTGAGACCCCTGTCTCTACTAAAATTAGAAAAACTGAAGCAAGGGGATCACTTGAGCCCAAGAGTCGGACGTTGCTGTGAGTTATGACACCATGGTCCTCTACTAAGGGTGACAGCTTGAGACGCTGTCTCAAAAAAAAAAGGAAAAGACCTAAATGCCTATCATATGATAAATGGATAAACAAAATGTGATATAGCCACACAATGTAATATTATTTAGCCATAAAAAGGAATGAAGTGCTAATGTGTGACACAAGATGGATAAAGCTCAAAGACATTATGCTAAGTTTAAAAAGCCAGATACAAAGGAGAAGAGATAGTATGACTGGCTGTAAATGCAATGTCCAGAAAAGACAGATCCATAGACATAAATTTTGGTAGATTAGTGGTCACCTAGAGCTGGGAGGGAGAAGGGTTTGGGGTGAGAGAGAAGGGGTCTTTTGCAGGGGATAATGGAAATGTTCTAAAATCGATTGCGGTGATGGACACACAACTCTCAGAATATACTAGAAGTCATTGCATTTTACATTTGAACTGTATGGTATGTGAATTATATCTCAATAAAACCATTTCTCTAAAAATTTCACGAGCAGAGTATGTGAGGGGGTTGACAAAAGAAGGACAGCCCATCTAACCTCCCAAGGGATTCCAGGTGGGAAGGCAGATAACCTTTATGGCAGGACATGTCATTAGAGTTTGGCTGGGTAGGTAAGTGATAGGACGCTGCCCAGGAATCTATGCCTACCTCCCACCCCCTCCACCGCACAGGCTAGGGACCCTCTGCCTGGGCTCTGGGTAGTTGCATGATTTTCTGAAAGCTGCATAGCTGCCGTGATTCAATCCCAGCATCCACCTCCCTGTCTCAGACCTTCCCATTCCCCAGCCCATTCCCCAGGGGCTGACAGCTGGAGAAGTCACTCACAATGCATCCGGTGCTGCTCACCTGTAGCCCTCAGCACAGAGACAGGAGTAGCTGTTGACTTCATCCACACACTGGGCTCCATTCTGGCAGCGATGGTCCCTGCAGTCATCCTGATTCTCACTGCAGTTGTCACCTGCGTAACCTGGTGCACACTCACACCTGGGGGGTGGGCAGGGGTGGTTGGGTGCTCAGCCGCAAATTCAGCCCAGAGCCTGGGCAGCCAGGAGAGCACACCAGGGCCCACACAGCCTGAATATGTGACAGAGACCCTCCCCGCCACAGGAAGACAGATAGAGCGCTGGATATAAACCCCCAGCACATGGTGGAGCCTTTGTTAGTATGAATAGATAGCTTGTGTGGGCTTGGGGTGGATGCCTAGGAGCAGGAGGAGATGGAATCTTGTCACAGATCTTGACCCGCTCTCATCAATAGCACATCCAAGGCCAATCTTCGGCCCCTTCCCAACCTGCCTAGCTGCTCACTATACCTTCCTCGTTCTCCCAGGACCCCCAGCACCTGGCCCTGTGTCCCATGGTTCCCTCCATCCCTCTGCCCCCACCTCCTAGTCCTCAGCATGGCTAGTGCCCACCTCTCAGTGGGTGACTTCACTCCAGGCCAGCCCTCAGCTTCCCTGCTCTCACTGTGCCTCACTGCTGGCCTGAAAATCCATTTTGGCCAACCATTTGCTCATCAAAGAAAGGGCACACCTCTGCACCCCCTCCAGTCATGACCTTACAAAATGTTCTGTGTCTGGCAGGCCTCTCGCTCCCCTATGTCAAGACCACCCACCAGCCACCTCCCTGCCCTTCACACCTGTTGATTCTGGAGTACTCTCCCTGCATGGTCCAGCTAGGCCAATACCTCACCTCCTCCAGGGAGCCTTCAGGGAGCATTCCTGCCCTCTCTGAGCAGTCCCTGGTCTGAACTCTTTTCAAACTCCTAACTCCAAACTTTGCAGCTCAACCACACAACCTGGCAGATGTGTGCTCTTGACTGAGTTACTCCTTCCCTAGCCCGGTATTGTTTAGGCTATAAGAAATACTTTTCTGCACAGCCCACAGGCTGGGTGCAGGTGGCTCACACCTGTGATCCCAGCACTCTGGGAGGCCAAGGTGGGTGGATTGCCTGAGCCCATGCCCAGCACACACACACACAAAACCAGTTCTATATGATACTATTTATCCTTATTATATAAAATGGTATGTTGCTCTTTGATATTATGTTTTTGTTTTTTTATGTTTTATTTTTTATTGTTTTATTTTTTAATGTTAATCTTGACATTAACATTAAATGGGAGTTGGGGGCCCCTTCATATCCAACTGATCACAGTTCACTAATGGGTTTGGAACTATACTATGAAAAATATTACAGGAACTAAGCCACCGCTCACTTATGTTTTCTTTCTTTCTTCTTTTTTTTGAGGGGGGGGACAGAGTCTCACTTTGTTGCCCTTGGTAGAGTTCTTGGCATCATAGCTCACAGCAACCTCAAACTCTTAGGCTCAAGTGATTCTCTTGACTCAGCCTCCCAAGTAGCTGGGACTATAGGCGCCTGCCACAACACCTGGTTATTTTTAGAAACAAGGTCTCACTCTGGCTCAGGCTGGTCTTGAACCTATGAGCTCAGGCAATCCACCCATCTTGGCCTCCCAGAGTGCTAGGATCACAGGACAGAGCCACCTGCGCCCAGCCTCATTTTTTCTTTCATTCATTCATTCGCTCATTTGGTGACTGTCCACTGAAGACTTGCCAGGTTCCAGGTACAATGCCAGGCACAGCTGGTATCAGTTCTATCTACTAGGACAGGAATTGTGCTGTAGCCCTGGGCACATTCCTCCTGGCATGAGAGACTATGCCGGCTGCTTCAAACTGGACAACGTGCAATCCTGTCTTATTCTGCCCTCTGAGGTCTAGCCCCTCTGAAGAGAGCACATGCCATGAGACCTGCCACTGCTCTTCAGTCTGCCAAGCCTACCCCGGCACAGCAGCCAGGCAGGACTACAGCATCCATCCTCACTCGTCTGGATGGTCCATCGCATCTGGCCTCAACAAGCCCCTGACTCTTGCTTTCTCTGTGCAGGCTTCAGGCTCCCTTGGGCTCCCTGGGGGACCTCAGCCCTAACATGGCCCTAGTTTCTGAGCTTAGGACCCTCAGTTACAAGCCCTTAAGAAGTCATGCTCCCACGCCCTTGCTGTCCTGACTGGTGGAATAATGGGCTGACAAATGAGACTGTTTGCAAAACTGCAGATGGGAGCAACATTTTTAAGACCTTTGTCCAACAGTCTTCAAGTGACAGAGTACTCCCACGTATGCCAGTACTGGCAGTGATGAAGATGCAGGTCAATGACTCCTTATCCAGACCTCCTGGGGCCACACAGGCTTGGGAATTCAGAACTTTTGGTAAGGTCGTACGTTGCCTTATAACTTGCCGGTGGGATCTGAGGCGGCCCCGTCACCAGTCATGTGCGTGTTTCTGCGGCACATCCACACACCCTCACACTGAGTGGGATGACCCACACTGGAAGTAACCTCACACTTGTGTGCCTCGGTTGCCGTTACCAAATGTGCTCAGGTCAGATCAGATTTTGCCACCCAATGGGCTTTCAATTTTCAGAGTTTTGTGGATTTTGTAATTGGGGATAAGAAATTATGGATCTGGAGTGGTAATCGCTATTTATGGGGTACTGATCAGATGTCAGGCATGGAGCTAAGCACTCTCCATTCATTTTCGCATCTAATCCTTGCAATCATCCCAGGAGGAAGCTACTGTTGTGAGCAGTATACAGATGAAACAGACTCAGAGCAGGCAAGCCATCCATCCAGGCTCATGCTGCAAACCCAGGTCTGTGTGGCCACAAAGCTCTGACCATCACCTCACCCTGCATTGGTTCTAAGGAGCCCTAAACACCTGAGACCAAATCCTTAACAGGTGAGGGAACAGGGAGCGGGTGCAGAGCCCAGACTCACTTGGTGGCCCATCCCTTCCCTGGCCCTGGAAATGGACAGCACTGACCTGGGCCCGTCTGGAGTGCCCACACACTGGGCCTCGTGTTGACACGGGTTCAGATCCGGGGAACACAAGTCTACCAGCTGCTCACAGGCCCTTCCTGGGGGAAGAATGAGCCAGTGGTAGGAGGGAAGCTGCTCTCTTGTTCTCTGCCAGGCAGTCAGGTTCAGAAGAAACCTCCCACAGACACCCATGGGGGACCTGGCCCATCCCCCCATGGGCACAGGGGCTTAGGAGGTCTCTGGCTCCCCACCTCCTCCAGACGCTCAAGCCTGACCCACTTACCCTCATACTGCAGGGGGCACTGGCAGGTGTAACTGCCCACGCCATCCACACAGACACCCCCATTGGCACAGGCGTGATCCACACAATCATCCGTGTTCACCCCACAGGTCGGTCCTTCAAAGCCAGTGGGACAGGCACACCTGTGGGGGAAGGGGAGGACGGAGAGCCAGTCTTCCAGGGAAACTGGTGGAAGCCTGTGGCCACCAGGCAATTACCATTCCATAGAGTTATGGTTCCTACTCTGGGTCAGGCCTTTGCTACTCATTGGGGTGGTTAGAGGTGAGGGACTGACCCTGCCCTCATGGGACTCCCTTACAGTCTAGTGGGGAGAAAGGGGAGCTGAGTGACCAGAGAAAAGCTAGTGAGTACGGGGTGGTGTAAGAACTGAGGCCAGAGAGGGGGCACAAAGAGACAGGAGATGACTGATGACTCCTTGTCGGGAAGTAGCCAGGCTTCCTGCAGAGAGTGATGAATGGGCCAAGGACAGGGTAGAGCAGGGCAGGGAAGACAGTTGGAGCAGAGGTCTGTGTAAAAGCCTGGAGTGAGAGGGAACCCACTAGCCAGTCCCCTGGAAAGTGGCTGTGGCTCAGCCAGGTAGTCCACACTTCAGGAGCGCAGACTTCAGGAACATGGCAAGAATGGGGCTGGGTGGTGCAGGAGCCGTATCACAGAGGACCCTGGAAATTAGTGATCTTCAAACCAGGGCACACCTTTCCTTGGGAAACCAGAGGGTTCCAAAGGGCATGTGGGTAAAAGAGAGAAAGGTCCCATAAAGTAATTAATTTCCAGATCATCAAATTTCTGCATGAGCTCCTCCCTAAATTAACCTGCCCCAGAACTCTACAAAGTTATTTCTCTCCCAGCCTAAACCCAAAGTGGACCATGCCTCTGGGAGCACAATAAAGGACAATTAGAAAAATCAAAGTTTAGAAAGTGAATGAACAAACCTTTCATAAGCCAAGAGGTTTCTAGTTCTGTGCATTAAAAAGAATTGAAGGAAAGCCTCAGGGAATTGCCAGCTGATGAAACATTAAAAATAATTTTGGTACCAGATCACTCTGGAGTTTTTGGTATAAAAACTGGGACAGGTTGCAGAAGAGAATTGCAAAGAATTGAGTGCCATGCTATAATAAAACGCCTTCTAATCTCATCAGTGTATTTATGTGAACACAATTTTCCTGACTTATCTATGATGCTCATCCGTGGACACGTGAACCAACTGAGAGAAGAAAAGAACAAAAAACCACTCATCCTTCTCCTTACGAGAGAAACAGTCTGACACAATTTTACTTTCATGTGTAATAAAGTGTAACTAAATTTTAAAATACAGTTATATTGTTTTGAACTAGTATATAATGTATTATTGGTGATTATAAGGAGAATTCCATAAAAAGAAACTTTTAATCAGGGGGTTATGGTAACAAGAAATAAGGAAAAAAATCAATTTTAACTTATGTTAAAAGAGAAGTATGGCTGGGTGCTCAATAAAGAACTCGCTAGCATAAATATATATCGTATTAGAAGAAAAAGCAAGGATAGCGGGGAGTAAAAGGGAAACACTAGTTCAAGGAGAAGAAGAACAATGGAAAACGTTTAATTTCTTAAAGTGGAACTTGCTTGTGTCACTTAAAAATGGTATCAAATTGCTGTGCTATTCCATTAGAGAATGATGAGAGAGTAATTTAAAGTGATCGTTTTATTTTTAAATCTTAATAATATTTATAATATCTAGGAAATTACCTCCATTGCAATGACACATTTTAGCTGTCAATCTAAGAATGTGTGAGGAGGTATATACACTTTTCAAAATCTGGTTGGGGTACGTGAGTAAAAATTAAAGACCACTGGACATGTGTCGGAGTTCAAATGTCTCCCCAGAAGGCTGCAGGGGAGCAACAGTGGGGGGTTTAAGCTGAGGGGAGGTGACAGAATCTGCTTTGCATTTTAGGCAGTGCCCTCTGGTGGGGGCACCAGCCGGGGGCATGACAGGCGGAGCCCTGATGAGCCACAGGGTTGAGGAAAACACTGGGAGGCACCTTCTTTCCACAGGGGTGGGGCACGCCACACCCCACCCATCCGTGAGGCTACTGAGTGGGTAGGAGGCTGCTCCACTGACCCTAGATTCTCAGGGGATCCTTTTATCCCTAGGCGAGGAGCCTAAGGGCTGGGGAACTCTGATGAGCTGCTAGCCAAGCGGGGAGGAGGGGAGCCTATTGTAAGGACGCCGTTTCCAAGGTGACGCCGTGAAAGAGAGGCCATTTAGCGTTTTATTTTTTACATCTGGTAATTTAGGTTTGTGGAGGCAGGTTTGGCCATTTTTGCTGGTAGATTCAACATCATTTTCCAAGGAGCCAATTTGTTGAGGTGACAATTTATTTTCAGCCACTAAATACTAAGTATTCCTCTGAAAAGCCTGAGGGGAGGGTGGGGGCTCACTAGAGGGCTGTGGGGGAGGAGTCCGTGGTGCTGGGTGGTGGGCAGTGTCAGCACTGGAAGGACCTAGGAGAGGAGGCCACTATATGGTGGGAAACGGGCTGCTCATGCTGGGACAAGTGGGGCTGGCTCCTCCCTACAGTGCCCAGGTGCTCATGGAGGGGGTGGGAGAACCCCAGAGGGAGCGCTAGGCCTCTGCTCCCTCCTCTGAGCAGCCGCACCTCAATTGTGTCTCAGGGCTCTGGTGGCTGTGTGGCAGAAGGGGCTGGTGAGGGCCTTGACCGCAGTGACTTGGCCTGAGGAGCTGCTGAGCTGGATGGAGGCTTTGGGGACTGGGAGCTGTATAGGAAATGCCCCCAGTCTGCATTTCACATTCCCAGTGTCTCCAAAAGGCTGTCTGGCACCTGGCAGGGGCAGGAGGCAGCAGAGGCAGTTCCAAGCCCCACTCACCCCCCAGAGCGCAGGCACTGGGGAACTCACCTGTCCTGTGGCCACCTGGGCAATTGAGGGGCTTGGCCCTGTGGGCCTGGAGAGCCCTCTGGCTGTGATATGGTGCACATGTCTGTCCAGGGGAGCCCCTACCCCCCAAAGCATGGGGAGGTCTGGCCCATCCCCAGTGAGGGAGGAGGCACCAAGGCTTGGGTGCTGGACCCATCAGCACCCACCCACAAGGCTCCTGCCCCTCCAGGCAACTCACGTGAAGCCAGAGTCCTCGTCCTCCTGTGAGTGGCAGGTCCCACCATTTTCACACGGGCCACTAGAACAACTGTCCAGGGACACCTCACAGCCTCGGCCCTGGGGGGAAAAGTAGCCATGGGGACCCCAGGGATACCAGTAATCTAGTATGAGCCAAAAGCCAGCCAGCCCTCAGCAGTGCTGCCTCCCTGCCTGGAGTAACATGCATTTGTTCATTCATTCATTCATTCATTCACTCATCATCATGGATTATGGGTTCATTCCAGCACCTGCTCTGAGCCAGGCGGTGATCTGATCTCCGGGGCCAGCCTGATGAACAAGACAGACCTGGCCCTGCCCCATAGCACACATGAGGGCCCTCCTCCCCCAGCCTCCGCTCACCTTGTAGCCACTGGGGCAGGCACACCTGTATATCTCGAGGGGGTCATGGTGACAGGTGCCCTGGTTCTGGCACGGGCTGGACACACAGGGATCACACTTGGCCTGGACAGCCAGAGTGGGAGGACCTGCCATGGCGAGGGGGATGTGTCAGGGCAGGAGGGGCAGCATGGGAGCCCCTGGCCCTGAGTAGCCCGGCCCCAGGGAGATTTGCTGCCTACACCTCCTCTAGACCATGCTTGCACCCTCACCCTGTCCACCCTTCCAGCCTCCAGATGTTCCCCTGCCAAGTGGGGCTATGACATCCCTGCCACAGGGCGGGAAGGGCTAAACCAGCAAATCTCATCTGCGGGCGTGCTGGAAGGCAGCCACCACAGCACGTGGCCGTCCAGACCACATCAGCAGTATGAGGATGGCATAGTCCCCACTTCTAAGTTGGCCAACTCTCCTCTGTCCTTCATGCCCTTCTGAACCAATGACCCCCAGCTTGGCACCCACTGACCAGGAGGACAGAGGCAGAGAGGAGACAGTGGCTCAGCCAGCCTTGCACCTGAGTTCAGTCGGCCACACCAGAGGAAGAAAGGGTCCATTTGCCTCAGGGTTGCTTCTCTCCAAGCCTGAACCAGGACCCTTTCCTGTCACTTTCCTGGCTATAGTCTCCTCTCCAGCCTCCAGGGCACTCTGGTCACAGAGGTGGATGGAGGAGCAGCAGTCAGGCCACCCGGGGCGCCACCTCTCAGGGATAGCAGGACCTCCTAAGACTAAGTAGAATGAGCTGGCCAGTTTACTCCAGTTTCCCCACAGGATCCTAGAAGAGGTGGGACATTGGTTCCTCTGAAGATACGTAAGTGTGAAAAGAAATGAAACGCTTCTCAGCAATGACTCAAAGGACACACAGGGGCTTCTGAGGCACAGGTGGGGTTCTCTTTCTCAATTCCAGAGTTCAGTTTGTAAAAATTCAGTGAGCTACTCCCTTACGATCTGTGTACTTTTCTATATGTGTGTTGTATTTCAATAAAAAGTAAGAAAAAAAAAAAAACCTCTTCCTACCAGCACCAAACCCACTCTGTTAAATAAACACAGACCACGTGTTTGAACATGAATTGGCTGGCTTTAACAGTCAAGCCGCAGATCATGACCTCTGAACTGCTATGGTTGTGACAACATCCTGCACAGAGGGTGGCCTGGGGCCTCTCATTAACCTAAGGCTGTCAGCTTCATTTCCGATGGTGGCCTCTGAGCTTGCAGAGGGCAGAGGCCGTGCCCCACAGCCTCTGGTGCCCTCTCCCAACTGCCCCTTAAACATAAAGCCAGGCCTGGGGCAGCCACTGGGCCACCTGTCTGCACTCAGCAGGATCCCTGGGGCCTGGGCCATCAGTGAGTCAGTCAATCCCTGAACAAGGGTTTACAGATGCCTGGGGTGAGGCATCTCAGAGCAAAGCCCAATGAGCTTCCAGCCGCATTCATGCTCTGCAGTTCTGCAAATGTCAGGAGAGCAGCAGCTGAGTCCTTGGTTCTCCCAGGGACTGAGATGGATTTAAGCTAATTCTGAGCACCAAAGGAGGTCTGAGGGCTCACACTGCAGAGAGGCGTGGCACTTTCAGAAACACTGCTACTATTTTGATTTTCCTTACATAACCATAGCGGGGGATTAAAGCCCTGATGGCCTGAGATTTTTCTCTCTGGCTTTTTTAGTTCATGACATGTCAGGACTGGAAGGCAGCCATCCTAATAAGCAGCAGGTGGCTTGTTCCTGTCACCTCACCCGCACCAGCGGTCACCACAGGGACATAGGCATATCAGGAAGGCCCTACCAGGGATGGACAAGTTCTATGGGCCCCTGTGCTCCTGGGCTCACCTTGGCATTCAAACTTCTTGGCAGGAGTGGTGAGGAGCAGCTTGCCCTCCATGTCTGGGGGTCCTGCACAGCGGGCAATGCCTGGTTCCTTGTAGCCAGTCTTGACCCAGCCAGACAGCCAGCGGAGGCTGCAGTCACAGTACAGGGGGTTGGCACCAATGGCCCTGGGGCAGAGAAAAGCAGGCATTACAGGTTGATAGGGTCCTTACACAAAGCACCTAGGGTCCCAGGCACTGTGCCAGGGGCTGCCAAAAATCTTAACAGCCAGTTTGGCGCTGTGGTTAGGGCGCCAGCCACATACACCAGGGTTGGTGGGTTTGAACCGAGCCTGGGCCTGCTAAAACAACAATGACAACAACAACAACAACAAAATATAGCCAGGTGTTGTGGCAGGCACCTGTAGTCCCAGCTACTCAGGACGCTGAGGCAAGAGAATCACTTAAGCCCAAGACTTTGAGGTTGCTGTGAGCTGTGATGCCATTGCACTCTACTGAGGGCGACATACTGAGACTGTGTCTCAAAAAAAAAAAAAATTCCTAACAGCCCCCCTTCCACGAGCATGTGCTTTTAACCACTGCTATTTTAAGCACTGCATATGCATCACCTCACCTGGTCCTCACCACACACTATCCCCATTTTACAGCTGCAGAAACCCAGGCCCAGAAAAGTTCAGGAACTGTCCTAAGGTCACACAGAGAAACAGGGGAGCTGGGATTTGAACCTGTGCCATTGGAGCGAGAGCCTACAAATGTGTTGCCTGCCGTGTATGTGGGGAAGAAAGCAACTAGCATGAACTGCTGCAAGGAGACACGCTTTTCCTGCCGTCGTGCAGCAGAAGTTCTTCTCAGCCCCACAGTGCATGGTTCCTTTTCTCCATCTCAAAGATGAGGGAACTGAGCCTCAGGTGGTGGAATACGTGATCTCTCTGGAGTCACACAACTAGCAAAGGGCAGACTTGGATCTAGATGCAGAGCTGTCTGCTTCTGAGGCCCACACTCTTTTCTTCTTTTTTTCATTTTTCATGAAGCAGTGAACATGTGAATGCATTCTCGTTGTAAGCTGCCCTCAAACACTGCACACAAAGCAAGTCTCTGCCCCCACAACACTGTGACTGATAAAATGCCACTGAGTTGTACATGTTAAAAAGGTTAATTTCATTTTATGTGAATATTACCTCAATTTTCCAAAAGGCATGTTCCTGTGCACTTGGGGGTGCAAAATGGTGGAACTCTTGTGGAAGGGAGGTTGAGATATCTACCAAATGGCCAATGCAATCAAGTGTACACAATACTAATATGAAACCAATATATAAACAACTACACACCCACACAAAAGATAAAACACAAATATAGTCTAGCAAGAAGGAGGGGAAGGGAGGGTGATCAGTGGGATCTCACCCAATGTACACAATGTGAGGGTGTTCAGCACGCCCCCTGCGTGAACGGCTCAACTTCAACTTGAACTTTACCATAGAATTGAAAACAATGTCAACTAAACATTGGTGCCTTCATATTGATTTGAAATTTTAAAAGAAAGCAAAAAAAAAAAAAAAACCCAAAAAAACAAAAAAAACAATTGCCAATGCGGCTAGTTGCCTTTTGACCCAGCAATTCTGTTTCTGGCAGTTTAGCTCACAGATGCACCTGCACAAGCATGAGAGGGCATCTGTGAGACAGCGTCGTCTATAATAGAAAGAAAGACTGGGAACCCCAAGTGCTCATCAGTGGGGCAGTGGTTAAATTAATGTGCTACATCCTCATTACAAAAAATAATCCAACGCCCCACTGTCCCACCCTCCACAGGTGGACATGTGGTGCCATGGTCACCATGCTCAGGTGTGCAGCCTTCCAGGCCTTTCCCACATCTCCAGAAATGACATTCTGCTCTGCATCGCAACTGAGCAGCTTACCTCTTGTCACTGAATGGCCTGTCTTGGAAATCTTCCCGGGTCAGCCTATATGTGTCTACCCCACTTTGTCAAACTGCTTCATGGCACCTCCCAGAGTGGACAGCCCAGAGCCTAGTGAGTAATTGCCCTGTGGCTGGTGTTCTTTTTGTTTCCAACAGCAGCAAACACCTGTACATGCCTCTTTGTGAGGTGTGAGCATTTCTGTAGAATATGAGCCTAGAAGTAGAGTCAGGGGTTGGACAAAGGGCATGGAATGTGTTAACAGCTGCCCTCCCCAAAGTTGTATCCACTCCAGAGCCCAGCAGAGTAAGCTATACCTGCTCCCACATTTGCACCAACACTGAATACTGCCAATCTCTTCATATCTCACCAATCCAGCAGGTGAACTCAGAATCTTTTCACTACACCACAGTGAAAGACTTTTGAGATGGACAAGACAGATTTGGGGAAAAGAAAGGGCCAGAGTTCTTTGACTCAGCAATCAAAGAATCAGTGCCTCATGCCTGAAGTGCATCAATAGCAACATTACTTTGAAATTATAAGGTTGTATCATGTTAATGAGAACCGACACATTTGTTAAGTAACCAGTGGGTACACTGCCATTTTCCCTGTTTCTGGGCAAGACAGAGGAAGTGGTTCCCCCTGAGATATGTACCGTCTGATAAAAGCAGCAGCAGCTCTGAATAGGAATTCTCCAAAATAGCAAGGCTGACAATATGCGATCTCATAAAGTGGGCTGAATAAGACTTGGACTGTGGTCCTGATGCAGCTGCCCCCTGCCCAGGTGACCTTGAACGCTTCACTTAACATCTCTGGGGCTCCCTTTATGATTTGACAAAGAGCCTACAGTCCAGAGGGAGAAGAAACACAAGCACATGGAACTAAAATGGGAGCCACGGGAATACTCAGCTCAGAAAAGAAGGCAGGCTCAACCTTGACATGTGTTCAATTTTTTTCTATTCTTATTTGCTGACGGCATCCATCCTGGCTAATGGGACGCGTGAGATACCTTCCTGTCTCCGCTGAACAGCACCGGGGCTCTCAGATGTACAGAAAGGTCAGATGCTTTGATTCTTTGAAGCTCCAGAATGTTAAAAAGAACAAAGACTTTTTAAAAAATAGAAATGCAAAGATTGCAGTATATTTAAAATGTTTACATCCACCAGATTGTTTTTTCTTTACTAATAAAAAGCACAATTCAAAAGATAAATACAGAATTGATTTAAAAATATTTTTTATAGTGCACTACAAGGTAATGAGCCAAGGTAAAGAGTGGAAGGCACCTCATTTAGAGAATATGCCTGAAAAGATGAAATCTGAGGCCCTGTGAATGTGAAGGCATTTGACATATCTTAGAACCTTCACAAATCACCAGATTTGTGCAGGTGCCCCTCATAATAGCAACAAAGTTGCACTTCCAACCTAAGCATCCCTTCTTGACTCCTAATAAAAAAATAAAAACTATGGGGCCAAAGTAATGTATAAAGCTATTTAAAAATATAAATTCTGGCTTGACTCACACTTGATTTACGTTGTTTTTGTATCAAGCCACAGGTGAATTCAATGGTACAAGCTTCAATTTATCAAAAGGCTTTCTTTTTCTGGCTAAGGCCCACCTTGCCCTCTCTTCAGTAGGATTTGTACTTCACATTCATCTAGGGACCATTTTCCCAAGGAAAACTCCTACGAATTCAGTGGGGTGTGAAGAAACACAGGCCCCAATGAGACAGGGTGGGGTTGGGGACCCAGCAACCAGGCCACACCACAATCCAGAAGGACTGTAAGTTCAGGTACAAACCCCAGCGAAAGTATAAATAAGCCTGTGTTGTTGATTGTCGCTATAATTTGGAAATAGATGAAACAGTAGCTATTTGCTCTGCACATGCCAAGGCCCTGCCCGGTTTCTATTTATGTAACCTGGACTGAAATAGCTTTCCCCCTGGCTGTTTCACAGAGTCACCAACTACAGAGATTAGCATACACTGGGACTTAAAATCTCCTTCAGCCAAGCTAAATCTGCCTGTGCCACTACGAGGCAACCTACAGATGGACAAAAAAAAGTACGCATTTTAAGAGATTTAAGAGATGTTGTCTATGTAATACTCTTCGACGTTGAACTGAATTATGGTAGCAATGTGCAGGATGACATTGGCTCAAAAGATGGCGTTAATTAAATAAATGCTAGTGTTACTGTGCAACAGGCAGGACAGCGAAAGAGAATGGTGGAGGAGGTGCGGTTGTTGTTTGAGGAACACAAGACCATTTTGAAGCGGTATTTGAAACTCAAGAATGTTGTGGAAGGTTTAGTATGCAACAGGACCGCCAACACGCCTAACAGTTGCACACGTTCATGATACGTCTGAGGCTCGGGGTACCATGTGTGATATGCATGAGGGACGATCTGGGAGGCCTTGCGGTGTTGTTCAAGCAGCAGTTGCCATAATGGTAACGGACAGTGATGGTAACCACTGGGAGCACCTCTTACAAGTGCAGAAGTCAAATAGGACTTGTGTTTATCTTCTGTTGTTGGTACATATTGAATATCACGATTTTAATGCAGTTTTTTTATTTCTCAAAATGTGTATATGTATTTTGGCACCCTCTGGATTTGCATGCCTTTCTGTCTGCTGATGAACCTATGGGCAGTGGAAAGGGGTCCCTGAGGGCCAGAACTGCTAAATCCCCAGCTGCACCAGAGACTAGCAGGCATCAGTTCATGTTTGCTGAATGCCTGAATGCCTGTCTCAAAGCTTGAGAAAGGCACAAAGCCTTTCAAAGGAAATTCAAAAAGAAAAGAATCATCGATCATCCCATAAATGTAATTAATTTATTAGTAGTACATTCTCTTCCAATTCTTGGAAACATATTTGTCCATCACTGAAATTAAACAGTCCTCTTGGTTTTCCTCAAATAATAAATTACAGTGCTATTCTGTCATATAAACATGCCATAATTTACTTAATCAAGACATATTTACTTTTCACATCTAATTCTTAATAAATGCTAAATCTAATTTTCCAGCCTGCAGCAGATTAGAGGCAACAAAATGTCAGATTATAGCAATGAAGAATGGCACTGGGGAACCTTAGCAGAGGTAGATACTTGCCAATAGATAGATGGACAGATGGATGAAGGGTGAGTTGACTGCCAAGTAAACAGCACCAGAGAGATGTGCAGGGTATTGAAGCCCAGGGCAGTGAAGGGTGCTTACAAACCATAAGAGACCTTAAAAATAACCTTCGTATGGGTGAGAGAAGAATGAATTGGCTGAATCTCACTGTTGATGGCAGAATAAGAACCTGTAGCCCCAAGTCCTGATTCCTAGACTAGAGTTCAAAGGGTTTAAATGTGGGCCTCTCCACCACACCGTCACACCATTTGCCCCTCATCCACACTGCCAAAGGACAGGAGAGGCCCACCCAGAGTCACATCAGGAGCAGAGGGCTAGAATACGGGCACCGTCAAGAACCAGGAAACCTGAACGCTAACTCTTGGCCAACCCTGATTTGTGATGGAGCCTTGGGTGAGGCCCTCCCTTCAAATTTTATATGGCTTTTGTGAAGCCCAGAGTGAATGCAGTGAGTCCGTGTTATCCTCTTACCATTCTTCAACTCCTTGTAAGTGCTCAGACATCTTTCTGTAACAGCCTCAGCTTTTGAGCACAGGGAGACAATGCCTGTGTGTGTGCACGTCAATACAGCATGTGTGTACGTGTGCACACCTGAGTGCAAGTACATGTACATCTTTCATCTGCTTGTCTCTATTTTAAACCCTGCGTAGAAAGGGCAAAGTTTATTCCCAAGGTTGCTTCATAACAATAAAATAGTTCTTTCATGAAGATGCTGTTTTGTAGAGAAATTGGGCTTAGAAGCAATCAACAAACACATCTTATCAGTAATGTCAAGGCCATGCTTTAGCAATGTAACCACTACTTAACTGATCTTTATTTGTTGGTTTGTTTCTTATAAATTAGAAAACAAAAACAAACAAATAATAAATAAATTGGATCTGGCTTCTAGCCCGATGTCATAGTCTCCTAAAAAAAGTTGGAATTTATAGATAGATATAGATTCAAAATTTGTTTTGGCAGCTTCCATTACAGGTTCAAAATTTGTTTTTGCAGCTTTAGTTTGTTTGTTCAAAACATATGTTGCTTGTTAACTTCCCATTTGAAAACAAAGCTTCTAGCTAGATTTCGAACTAGAGAGACGATGTACTCAGGTGCTACTCAGTTCTCCTGAGGAGAGAGGAAAGGGGGCCAACTATCCATTTATAGCCAAGCACAGAAGATACACTACAGGGGAGATCGAAGGTGGGAAAGGTGGACCAGATGCTGGAAAGGCACTGCCTGGCAAGGGGCAGAGCCCAGGGCTATGCAAAGAAGGCTAAGTGGTCCTAGGGCAATGGCAGCCCCTGGTTCCAGCAGAGATAAGCATAAATCCTCTGCAGAGAGTAGCATCTCCAATTTAGGTCTCCAGAATGCCTAAAGATTAATGTCAAAAAAATGAGTCCACAACCCAAAATTATCCAACACAGATAGAAACAACTCCTGTGAATTAGAGTCAGCAAGAACAACAAACAACACTTTCCCTGCCTGAGCTTTGTCCACAGCCACTATCTCCAACCAGGCTCACTCCTGCCTCCTCCTACCCTCTGTATGTCACCACTGGCTTTCCAGAAGTTTTCTATAACTTAATTCTTCCACAATTGCCTTTTATCTATAAGATAAAGTCTAAACACCTTAGCGTGGCACAACAGAATTCCAATGTTCTTTTCCAGACTCACCTCTTCTCACCCCACGTTCTTTCTCCAACTAAACACCTTTTATCCTGTGCTGTACAACACAACATCCCCAAATATGCCATTTCCATTCTTGTCTCCAAGCCTTTGTACATGCTGTTCCCTCTTCCTGGAATGCCCTTCCCCACCTCCTCCAAATTAGACTCCCAGTCTCTCTTCATTGGCAGGATACCTGACACCTCAGCTTTGAAGCTCTTCATACTTAGAATTAGTCACTGCTTCCTTTGAATTCCCTTTACAATATCCTTAGTGGTCACAGAGGCCAAAAGCTTGTGTTAGTAAATTCCTCAGCATATGACTCATTCTGGTTACCTAGGACATATTTATTGAGGCAATAAAGAATAAATAAAGAGCTTTGGAATCAGACACACCTAAATTCAAATCCTGTTTCTGTTATCTCCTAGCTTTATGACCTAGGGAAGCTGCACAACTTTCCAGAACCGGGGACTGTAAAATGGAAATAATAAATCCTATCTCTTAGGAGGATTACCCCGTCTACTTCCACAGCAGACATTGCTAATCAATCACTACACTACTCCCACTGAGCCCTGATGGGCCCTGGAATCTTTAGTATAATTCCTGCTAATGGAGCTGATACATAACACAAAACCTATTTCCCATTTTGGTCACGGAGTCAACGAGACACTGTAGATAAAGCACACAGTATGGTATTTGACTCAAACAGATCCTCAAAGAGTGGCAACTGTTACTATTTTACTTCCTCAAGTCTAAACTGTTAGATGCCACTGACCTAATATACTTTGGGAGGGGTGGAGAAACAGTACCATAATAAATATACACATCATTTTAAGGTATACTCTGATTTTAGAGATTAAAATGTAGAAAAACTGAGTCTTACAACTGGGAAAACCTAGTGAAATTATCGAATGAACAAACTTCAAGAAGAGATGCTGGGAACCCCAAAGGCCCTCCAACCTAGGGATGCCTGCCCACCCCGGCCCTGGCAGATGGGGCATGGGGCAGAGAGCAAAAGGAACCAGCCATGCCCAGGGCCCTAGCCACAGTCCATGTCCCCTACATCTCCTCAGCAGGTTGTGCCAAGAGATGCCAGGACAGAATGTGTCTGCTCTGCACCCAGCCCAGCCTCCGGAATCAGGCTGGCCCTGCCACAGCCCAGCATTTCTTTATTTCTTCATTTTTATGGGGCACAACGTAGATAACATAAAATTTGCCATTTTTACCATTTTAAGTGGATAATTCAGTGACGTTGTTTAAATCCACAGCATTGTGCCACCATCACCACTAACCATTAATATTTGCAAACTTTTTCATCACCCCAAACAGAAACACTATACTCACTAAATGCTAACTCCCTATTCCTCCTGCCCCCTCCCCCCTGCCCCTGGCAACCATCATCCAGCAGCCACCATTCTACTTTTTGTCCCTTTTGTCTGGTTAATTTTTTTTTTATTTTTATTTTTTTTTGAGACAGAGCCTTAAGCTGTCCCCCTGGGTAGAGTGCCGTGGCATTATAGCTCACAGCAACCTCCAACTCCTGGGCTCAAGCGAGTCTCCTGCCTCCGCCTCCCAAGTAGCTGGGACCACAGGCGCCCGCCACAACACCCGGCTATTTTTCGGTTGCAGCCGTCATTGTTGTTTGGAGGGTCTGGGCTGGGGATTCGAACCTGCCACCTTAGGTGTACGTGGCTGGCGCCATAGCCGGTTGAGCTATAGGCGCCGAGCCGTCTGGTTTATTTTACTTAGCATGTTTTTAAGTCTCATACATATTGTAGCACGTAACAGAACTTCATTATTTTTTATGGCTAATATCCCATTGTGTATATATTTATACTTCCTTTTGTTTATGCATTCATCTGTTGATGGACACAGTCTGTTTCCACTCTGGGCCATTGTGAATAATGCTACTATTAATACCAGTGCATGAGTATCTGTTTGAGCCCCTGCTTTCCATTCCTTTGGGTGAACACGGAGTGGAATTGCTGGGTCATATAGTAATTCTGTGTTTAGCTTTTAAGGAGTCAAGCCCACTGCTTTTAAAGAATCCTCATAGCACTGTCAACTAAATGGCTTTGGAAGCAATTCTACATCCAATTATATCACCTGTCGGAGGTCGTAAATTTTCTGGGCTTATCCCTGGGCCGAGTGAGATTAGGGGCACAGTGCATGTGTGTGGTGCTTAAGAGCCCTGGTGCTGGAGTCAGAAACTCCCCACCCCCTAGCCGTGCAATCTGGAGCAAGCTTCTCACTTTATCTGCGCCTATTTCCTCACATGTAGAACAAGAATCACAGTACGTATATTGTAGGATTACTGTGAGGATTATACTAGCTGGTGCAGGTGAGGTGCTTAGCCATCAGTAAATAGTTGTTATAACCTAATTACTGCTGTGACGAATCGTTTCCCTGCTTGACTGCATGGCTGATGAGCTGGTGAATGTATGAGCCCAAGAGGGTGCACGTGGGACAATCACAAGCTTAATTTCAGGACAGAAGCAAAATGTCCTGAAAATCTCAGGAGATGGAGTCCTCCTTGGAAACCAGGCCCATTTAAACCAAAGGAGGGCCAGAATTACTCACAGGTGAGACAGGGAGGTCACGTCAGCGAAGATGCCCTCTCGGAGGGTGGAGATGTCATTGCCATGGAGGGACCTGAGGAGAGAAGTGGCTTCTGGTGTCTCACCCAGGGACAGAGATAGGGGATCCGCGACAGGGACAGGCCTGGCCCTCTGCTAAGGGGGGACAGGCCGTCTTTACTTTCCAGACCTCTTGGTCAGTACTGTGAGGGACACCCTGTCCTACTGGCCACAGGGAAGAAAGAGGGAGCCCTTAATAATCCAGGTTACTTGCCCTGTCCCCGAGTCCTTCTGGAGGTCTCCATTTTTGCCTTTATAAATAACAGAAGCAGCATATTTATATAATGAATAGGACTCGTGTATCAAGTGCTCTCCCTTTTTTAGCTGGAGCCTGAGGACCCGACCCTTCTGCTTGTCAGGAAATTACTGAGGCCAGCCATAGATCAGGGCTAGGAGTATGTCAGCTTGCCTCGTGCCAGGCCATCTCAGTGGACAAAACAGAGAGCAAAATCTCCCAGTGGCAATTCATAGAAAAGTCCACATTGGGAATTGGGAGTTTGAGGCAAGAGGATCTCTTGAGCCTAGTAGGTTGCTGTGAGCTATGATCATGATACTGTACCCAGAGTGACAGAGAAGAAAAAAAAAAAGAGTACACAAATTTCTTGCAAATAAACATTTTCAACTGGAATAGAAGTCTCACATGCAAATGAAAAGTGACCTTATCTTAGATGCACTCCCTAATATCACAAACTCAAGTTGGGGTTGACAGCAATCCCCATTTCTTAGATCATCTCCTATTCATGACTCAGCTTGTACAGAATGAAAGTATTCTGGAGTCCCACCATGGAACACAGGCCCTTCTGCCCTAGACATTTCTGCCCACCAGGTGAGTGGTAGGGCCCTCACGGGGTGGCTTCCTGGAGGAACGGGGAGACTTACAACAGGCGCAGGGAGCGGAGGCCCTGGAAGGCCAGAGGAGGAATGCACCGGAGGGCGTTGTAACTGAGGATCCTGTGGGAGGAAGGAGGAGGAGGAGGATGAAAACAGCACACTGCCCGGGCTCCACAGGCACAGCCACCCCTCAGCATGCTGGCAGCCTCTGTGCCCTCTGAGGGGAGGCCGGGCAGTAGATAGAGTGGGGCCCAGACCCTGCCCCAATCAGTAGGTGAACCTGGCCATGTCCCCTAACCCCCTCCTGCCTCAATCACTTCCCTTAACTGTAAAATATGAAGAAGAAAAATGATGTCAACTTGATAGGGCTTTTCTGCGGGGTAAGTATGAAAACCCAGGGGAAGCTCCTAGCCCAGTGCCCAGCTCCAAATAGACTCTCAGTAAAGGCAAGCTGCTGTCCCTATGAATGAGGCTGCACCAGCAAGGGGCACAGGCAGGTTCCTGTAAAGGTGACACCTGACCAGGGCCTCCTTGGGGGAGCCCATCCTCTCAGCCCATCATTTCCAGGGCAGAGAGGTGATGTCCTGGCTTCTATAATAATTTACCATTAGGAAGCTGTGACTGTGAGGAAGATAGTGTTATTACCCCCATCTTTTAGATGAAGAAACAGAGGTTCAGAGAAGTGAATCATTATTAGGAGGGCTTTGTTCATTTTGTTTTTTGGACAGTCTCACTATGTTGCCCTCAGTTGACTGCTGTGGCATCACTGCTCACAGCAACCTCAAACTCTTGGGCTTAAGCGATTCTCTTGCCTCAGCCTCCCAAATAGCTGGGACTACAGGCGCCCAACACAATGCCTGGCTATTTTTTGGTTGCAGTTGTCATTGTTGTTTAGCAGGCCCAGGCTGGGATCAAACCCGCCAGTCTCGGTGAATGTGGCCGGTGCCCTACTCACTGAGCTACAGGCACTGAGCCTAGGAGGGCTTTCATTAAGGTTCTCAGTTTCCAGAGCCTGTAGGTTAAACCTCTGTCTCAAAATGCTTCTGAGTAAATGAATCCATCCGGGGCAGACAGGCAGACTGATAAGGGAAATGATACCTGTGTAATTGCCTCACACTGGAAACAACTCAGGTGTCTGTCAACAGGTGGATGGATAAACAAACTGTGGCACATCCGTACAACAGAACACTGCTCAGCAGTCAAAAGGAAGACACTGCCAGTGCACACAGCACCGTGGACAAATCTCACGGTAATCATGCTGGGTGAAGGTGCGATAGAGTTTGTACTGGGATTCTACTTATGCAAGACTTTAGAAAATGTAAGCTAACCTACAGTGACAAACCAGACCAGCAGTCCCTGGGGCTAGGAGCAGTAGGAGGGAGGGATCTCAAAGGGCCCAGCCGCTGAGCTCATGGTGGTTCCCTGGGTGTGTGCATGTGTCAGGACTTATCACATTCTGGCCAGGTGCCGTGGCTCACACATGTAAACATAGCAATTTGAGGAGGTCAAGGTAGGAGGATCACTTGAGGTCAGGAGCTCAAGACCAGCCTGGGTAATAGAACCCCCCCAACTACTGTCTCTACAAAAAAAATTTTTGAAAATCAGCTGAGTGTGGTAGCAGGTGCCTATAGTCTCAGCTACTCAGGAGACTGAGGCAGGAGGATCACTTGAACCCAGGAGCTGGTGTTGCAGTGAGCTAGGCTGATACCACTGCACTCCAGTCTGGGCAAAAGAGTGAAAATCTGTCTCAAAAAACTGAAAGAAAATTTACTAAATCCTAAACTTGAAGTATATGCAATTTATTCTATATAAATTACACTCACTAAAGCTATAAATTGCACATGAACTCTGTCCATCCTGATTTAAAGAGAATAAAGGAAATGAGACAGTCCTTTCACAGGAAAGGACGCTGTTGCCAAGACCACTTAGCCCAGGAGTCCTCACCCTCTGCACTATGCACAAGTCTGTGTGGGGCTGCGGGTGTACTACAGGCTGCTTACAGCACCCCTGGCCTTTATCTACTAGACACCAGTGGCGCCTTCCCTCTGAGTTCTGACAACTAAAAATATTTCCAGACTTTGTCATATGTCCCCCGGAGGCCAGGATCTACTGGTTGAAAACAGGACCCTACACCAGGACAGCTTCCCACACAGGCACCAGGGATCCAGAGGGCCCTTCCAAGGCTAAATCTCACCCAGAAGGAACAACTGAGTCACCAGCTTGCCATGAAATAGGAACAAGTTGAGAAGCAGATCCCAGGTGAGGGGAGGATAGCCCAGAATGAGTATTCATGGCCTCAGGCCCACATCCTCCCAAAGACCGGTTGGGCCAGGGTCCCTCCTTTTTTGGGGTACTGGCTCTACTGTTTGAACACTATAGAGCCCTAAGAAAGTCCCTGAAGTTTCATCTATAAAATGTTGTGTTGGAAGGTGAACAAGACACACTCTCGACCACCAGGCAAATACATGTAAGGGACACTTAGTAATGCGTTCTGAGCAAATGCTCAGAATGTAAAGACATCACTAAAACACGTTAGAATATGGGCACAAAAATGTTCAGAGGGTCACTGCTCACAACAGTCCATGTTGGAGAAAACTCCAATAAGCATCAATGGTAGAAAGGACGAGGCACTCACAGCCCATTCCTACAAAGGCCCATTATGTAGCAACAAAAACAAACAGACCACAGCTTTACACAATAGGAACGGACCTCACAAACACAACGCTAAGCAAGAGAAGCCAGACATAGAAGAATATATGCTGTATGATTCAATTTATACAAGGTTAAAAATGGGCAAAATTAAACCATATTAGTTAGAAATGCACGTGTACATAGCAATACTATAGAGATATCAAAGGAGTAATCATCATAAGTCAGGCGGGGGCTGCCCTGGGGTCGGGGAGAGGACTCATGGTCAGAAAGGGACAAAGGGGCTTCGGGGTGTGAGCAGTGTCCTATTTCTGACGTGGTTATCTCCATGTGTGCTAGCTTTATGAGTATTTTTTAAACCACACATTTCTATCTTTTGCATTTTTCTGTATGTACCATATGTTCTGTTTCACAATGACAGATGTTTTAAAAAGTTTTTAGGCTCTTGGGCCCCAGCACACTCTCTGGCATGTGGCACCTGCAAGTGGCTGTGAGCAGTGCCCAGCACAGGCTGGGGCTTGGGGAATGTCTTGGTAGTCGTGGCCCCAGGTGTCACTCCCCCTCCCTGGCTGGGACTCACAGAGTGGTCAGCTGGCTCATGTTGGTGAAGGAGGAATTGCTTAAGGAACTGATCTTGTTGTTACTCAGGTCCCTGGAAAAGGCAAAAGCATTATAGTTTAGAAAGGAAGAACTCAACCCTGGCTTGCAGCCATGGGCGCCTTCCCCTCCCCCATCTACCCAATGGCTGTCCCTGCCTAGTGGACAGGGCTCCCACTGGCACTGTGGGGGGCACCTGGGGGTGGAGAGGAGCACTTGGCCCATGGCCTCAGTGCATGACACTCATTAGCCACAGCTCTGTGCTCTGCTCCCTGAACTGCCTCCAGGTTCCCAGGCCCACATGCCTCCACTTCTCAGCTCTCCACCCCTCTGTAAGCAGAGCCTGGCTCTGCCCCTTCCACTGCAGAAATGTGCCCACCAAGGACATAGGCAACCTTCCAACTGCCAGCTCTACTGCTCTCTCCTCTCTCTCCTGCTAGCATTTCCACAGGTTGGTTCACTAGCCCTCCAGCAATCCTAGTGGGGCAGAGTAACCCCATTTTGCAAATGAAGACCCAGAGCTTCACAATGATTAACTCACCAGGGCCACCCAGCTGGTCACAGGAGAACCAGGCTCTAACCCCAAGCCCCTGGCCCCTGGAGCCCAGGTCACCACAGTGTTCTCTCAGAGCCACCCTGCAGCAGGTGGCACCATGGACCACCCTGCAGCAGGTGGCACCATGGACCACCCTTCTTCTCCCAACTCTCACCTTCCCACCTTTCCCAAGACCTTGCTGTCCTCGGGCTCCTCCTTCCCCTTTGCCTACTGCTAGACTTCTTTTTGGTAGAATCTGGCCAATGAGCAGATAAAGATGATTGAAGTGAGATGCTAACTATGTTGGAAGGCTAAGAGGAGCTGAACTTATTACCCAGAGACTTATTTTGTTATTTCCATGGTGGAAAAGGTCAAAAGTAGAAGTAACAAAAAAAGCAGATGTGAGCCTAGAGAAAAACTTAGTTACAGATGTGTATTTATAGCTGCCATATTTTGTATTTGGTTTGGAGGCTGATCTTGGACCCCGCCGTCTTGGCTCCCATCCTTGCAAGGAGAGCCTGTATTAGCAGTCCGTGACCAGGCTTGGGGAGGTTTAGGGACATTGCCTGGGCTGGAACAGTGCAATTCCCAAGCTTGGCCACTAGGTGGCAAAACAGCTCCAGACACAGATGTTCCCAGAGGGGCGGAGGTAAGAGGTAAAGCAGGCTCTGCCTAGAAATGGGGTCTACAGGGAAAGCTGGAGCCACGATGGCTAGATGACAAAGACTCTCCCGTCCTTGGAGTTAGGCCCAGATACTCACACAAGCTGCAGGTACTTGAAGGTGGATAGCTGTCCTGGAACCAGAGTGAACTGGTTCCCGTCCAGATAGCTAAGGAGAGGAGAGAACACAGCAGCATTAGCAGTGTCCCCCACTGCCCACCCAGGGGAGAACCTTCCTGCAGTAAGGGATCTCTTTTCATTCCTCTTCTACACATAGACCACATGATCAAGCAGCCCAAAGTTATTCATGAGAGGAGAAAACAACTGTTGTTTAGGCCATTTGGGAAGTTTCCACCCAAAGAACCCAGTAAAAGCCACTGAGAAGTGAAGTCTCTCTTGGCTTCCTTAACACGTCCTTTCTCACCCTGTCAGCCTCCTCCCTGTTGTGGGCACTGCTTGGGTCTCACGCAGTCCCTGCTATTCTACTCTTTCCTGGACAAAAAGATCTGATTTGCATGTTACAGGTCACTTCCCAGCTACGAGGGCCCCTTACTGCCTGCTGGTGCTGAGCCAAACTTTCCCAACCAGCTTCTCCCAATTCCATCAGCACCCATTCTAGGCTCTGACCCCTCATGTCGCTTCTCCAACTCCCTGTGCAGCCACCCCATGACTGCTGGCTCCCCTTGCCCACCGGCCTCTCATTTCCTTCTGCTCCTCTCTCACGTTACCCGTGACTACACACCACCATCTAAGCCCAGGCTCTTGCCACAGCCACCTCTGTTCTCCCATCTTCACCTCCCCTCTGGCTCCAACTATATCCACTGCTATTCATGTTATCACCCTTAAAGCCAAGCCCACCCAAATCCGCCAAGCCCACGGCTTCCCACGGGTTCCATTTCTACAGGATACAGCTTGTGGTTCAAGATGCTTGAACCTCTCCCCTCCCATCTTCCATCTTCGCCTAGAGACTAGAATTTGCTAAGTGGTGACCCACACTCCAGAAGCTGAGCCCAGCGGGGCCCAGCACAGGGCTGCACCAACTATAGCCCTCAGGAGGGCTCTTCCCTGTTCCCCAAGGAGCTAGAAAGTAGCAAAATCAGACTCTGCCCATCTAACCCCAGCTTCTACTCAGTAATACCTGCCCACATCTGCTCTGGGTCGCCTTCCCTCCCGCTGCCAAGTCCCAACCCCTTCTGTCCTGTGGGCTTAGGCTACTTACAGTTCTGTGACATTCTTGGGGATGCCCTTGGGCAGGGCCTGGAGGTGCTTGTTGCTGCATCGGACCACCGTGTCCAGGCAGGAGCACTCCTGGGGACACTGCGGGCGGGGCAGGCAGCCCACCTCCTCCTGGCCTAAGGAGGAAGCCCCGTCAGGCAGGGCCACTCAAAAGACCCTCTCTGACCCCATGGCCACAGTTAGTCTCCTCTATGCCGCACCACTCCCCTTCTTCCAGCAGGGACAAAGGCCCCTGGATCAATTTTGAGGTTGAAATAAGTCTTGGGCTGATCTCTTCCTCCTCAGACCCCAGGTGGAAGCCAGAAAGGCAGAAAAGAGGATGGTAGCCATGCAATTTCTTCTTCTTCTTCTTTTTTTTTGAGATAGAGCCTCAAGCTGTTGCCTTGGGTAGAATGCTGTGGCATCACAGCTCATAGCAACCTTTAACTCCTGGGGCAGGCAATTCTCTTGCCTCAGCCTCCCAAGTAGCTGATACTACAGGTGTCCACCATAATGCCTGGCTATTTTAAAGACAAGGTCTTGCTTGTCTCAGGCTGGTCTCGAACCTGTGAGCTCAGGTAATCCACTTACTCTGGCCTCCCAGAGTGTTAGCATTACAGGCTTGAGCCACTGTGCCTGGCCTACCATTTTTTGAGTGGCTATAACTACTAGGCACTATAGCAACATTATCTCCTTAACAATTCAGCAAAGGGCACACAGCAGCCTTCAAAACAGAATGAATGAATTTCCATTCAACTGAGACCTGAAGAGGTTGGATGCTTGCTCAGGTCATAAAGCTGGTGAGAGAGGTAAGATGAGGTCTGAGCCCAGGTCTAGCTGATGCAAAATCACTTCACCTCCATGTGGCCTGGACAGGCTGCTGCCAGCAGGTGGGGGGTGGGAGGGGCGAGGAAGGGGAAGAGCAGCATCTTGGCACCCAGAAGGGGGAAGGGGGCTGCGAGGTCAGTCAGGAAGAGATTCCCAGTGGCAGAGTACTAAGACTCTAAGGACAGGGACATCTGGGCTGAGAAGCAACCCGGCTGTGTCACTGTTAGGAAAAATCTACCTTCTATGGCGACCTTGTATACATGGTGCTCTAGGGAAAAACTGAGGGACGGGGTTAGGTTTGGTTCCAGGAAGCAGGGGGTGGCCACCAGGGAGAGACTGGGAGTTCAGAGGCTGTAATGGGGCATTGTAGCAAAAAGTGGCCAGGGTTTCCCACATGTGGGGGATGAGACTCAGGAGGGTCCCATAACATATCAAGGACAGGGTGACCCTCTAAGTCAGAACACTTCCGAACAGCCAGGAGGCAGGTCTCTGGGTTAAATGGACTTCCATGAGGAAAACCCACTCAAAGTGTTAAGATTTTCTCTGAGCGTTGGGATAATAGGTCGTGTTTATGTCCTTTTCTCCACATTTCCCCATTTTTTTTAATGATTAGCACATTACTGCTCTTATAACCACACAGAGGCACCAGCCGGTGAGGCCTCCCATCAGCATGCCCCCTTCTGGTCCTCCCATCCTGCTGACCTGCCCAGCCGCTGACCTCTCCCCTGCCGCCGGGGCCACAAGTTACCTTCCTCACACCTGAAGTCGGGGAAGGCCACGTCCTGCAGCGGGATCTGCCGCAGGAAGTCTGGGTTCTGGCATCGTGGGTTCCCTGTCACGATCTTGCGTTTCCGCAGCCAGTCACCCAGCCAGGCCAGCTGGCAATTGCAGTTGAAAGGGTTGGCCAGGAGGTTTCTGGAAGAGGAGGGCAGGCGGCCATGAAGACCCTGCTGGTCTCAGTTGTCCCAGCAAAATCTCTCTTGTCCACCATGGTAGGATGTGCCACACGCCAGCCACCCGACACGCTTTCCCAGACAACCAACACCACCCAGAGGATCAGCTCTTATGACCAGAGATGGCACTCCAAAGTGGAGGAATCTATGTCCCCACAAATGTTTCTCTACATCCCAAGCAAGCTCTTCAAAAGTGGCCACCCAAGAAGACTCCCCCCCGGGGATGGTGGGAGTGGGGTTCCCAGATGACTGCTCCTTGAGTCTCAGCCGGCCTGCCCTCCGAGGCGGGACTCACAGTGTGGAGAGGGACTGGAGGGTGTCAAAGGCCCCCGGGGAGACGGTGGTGATCTGGTTGTCATAGAGTGAGAGGAGTCGGACGTTGCGCAGCCCCGTGAAGCTCTCGTTGTGGACACAGCTGATGCGGTTGTTCCGCAGCATCCTGGGGAAGACGGAGGTGTGGGAAGAGGGGAGAGCCCCTTACTGTGTGTGCCCTGCCAGCTACCCACCTGTGCCGCAGCACCTCAGGCACTGTGGCTGGTTCACAAACCTCCTCCAGAGGCACTAAGCTGGGAAACGCACACCAGCCAGATGAGGGAGAGTCCTATACACCTGTGTTCACCTCCAGACGTCCCTGCCTCTGTGCCTCAGAGCTCTGTCCCCTCCTCTCCACTCTACTGGCACAGTCCCATGCTGGCCTCATCTCCACCCTTGGACACAAGTGTTCCTCCTCATCTTACGCCCAGGAGGCTTTCCTGAAACCTAAATCAGGTACTATGACTCTCCAGCTTAAAGTCCACCAGTGGCTTCCAAATTGCCCACAGAATCACCTCTAAACTCTCTACTGTGACCCAGGAGGCTATGTCTACCCAGCATGAGGCTATCTTCTCAACCCCAGCCCCTGCCCCCTCCCTAGCCCTGGGCCTATGGCATCAGCCCCATCACCACACCTTTCCGGTCTGTGATGTCTTTCCAGGATGCCCTTCTTCCTCATCAACATCTGGAAACACCTCTGTTCATCCTCAAGAGCCCAGCTCAATTCCCCTCCCCAACCAAGACCAAAACCAAGAGGAACACGTAATAGTCACTTCGCAAAAGAAATTTTTTTTTTGAATTTTTTTTTTTTTTTTTTGAGACGGAGCCTCAAGCTATCCCCCTGGGTAGAGTGCTATGGCCTCACAGCTCACAGCAACCTCCAACTCCTGGGCTTAA